ACTAAAACATTTTTAAATTGTCTCAAAACATCTTTTTAAATATCAATTTTCAATATTAACAATGAAAAATGATTTTTTGAGGAAAAATATTTCTTCCTACCAAACAATGGAAAAAGTGATGGGAAATTTATTTTTCTGGGGAAATATTTCCCCCCCAACCAAACAGACCCTTAATCTTCAATTAATTTGGGTAATATTAAGTATTTTTATATTATGATTATTTTAATATGAGGTTTTCCCTAATTAAGTGTTCTACCGAGTGAGAATGAGGGAAATGAAAGCCTTTTAGATCATTGCTTTATTGATAATTATTGAGAGTGTTGTTTAATTTGCTCCAAATGGATACTAAATTCAATGTTCGAAATGGCGAGGCGAAAACCCGCCATATTGCACGCAATAGAAGTTTTTCCGTTAAAAAACGCAACAGTGCGTATCTAGCCTCACACAATTAAGTTTCATACGCAATTTGGGAGATGGCGTACGCTCCATGGTGTGCGCAATGGAACTAGCGATGAGGCATGCACAATTTTAACCTCAAATTTTTAAAAGTTAAGGTTAGATTTGTCAATTACAAATAATTAAAAGTATAGATTACTTCCTAAATACCTTGTTTATCACCGTAATTACGCAATCGACTAACTCGAAACCCTTGAGTTGATTCTTCATCACTCTTCAACTTCGATGCTCATCTTCATCAAGTAATCTCCTTTTTTCTTCTTTTTTGATTTTCTTTTCTGAATTGTGATTTAGATTGGGAGTTGGGACGTGCGCTTAGGGTGGTTTGGGATAGGGATGGTCTACGATTTGCTGTCCAGCTGTCCACAATGATTTTTTTTATAATTTATTCTTTTAAGTGGTTTTTTAGAACCCAGCATGGAATAAGCACCAGCACTAACAAGTAATTTGTTGTGATAGTGCAATATTTTTAATTACGAACTGCAATAGTGTTTTTGGATTATTTATGTTATAATACATTATGTTCTATCTTTAGTTTTAAAATGTTTTCTGGGTATTTTTCAATTTAGAAATTGAGGCTTACGCAATACGCCATGAAAAGAAAACGCCTCGAAACCGCAATACACAACTTTGAACATTGACTGAAGTATAGTACTTTGAATTTCATAGTTTATGAATCAGAATATATTTATGTTAATGTCTTTATATACATCGTGTATGAATTTTTGCCTAATTGTCACCTAGGGGTCTTGACTTCGTGATAACCTTTCTAACTACTTGACAACCATGAATCATTTATTAACTACAATGTTGGATAAAATCAATCCTGTCATAACTAAGTAACTAGCAGTGAAACTTAGGCAGCAAAGACAGAATAAAACATACAAAATCAACAAAACTAAACCAGTGTGGACTTAGTCTAAAAAGAACAAAAAAATAATCATACCTGTCTAGCAAGTATACTACTTTTTTCACGGATATAACCTGCAGGCTGACAAGACAGTTCCAGAGTAGGAATTGTGAAAGTACAATGTTATGAAAAGGGGAAACTAAAACCAATGTATCCAGCCAATAAAATGGTAACGGTGTGCATACCGACTGTGGGTAGTATACATCTACGATGGCATATCTGTTTTCCTACAATGAAGAGGTCATATTATTACAATCTCAGCAGATCGCCAGAAAAATACCAATATGCATGGGAGAACAATTTCCGTGGAAGGACAATCTCAAAATATCGAAAACTGGAAAGCAGAGAGCATTGAGGAACTAAATAAGTAGTACGACTGCAAACGCAAAATACACTGCCCACAGAATAGCAATAAGCATAATGTACTTCAATGGCTTGATCCCTTAATACACTCGGGATGGCTGGTAAATTATTTCAAATACATTAGAGGAAACATACAAAATATGCACGCAAAATTCATTCATCATATAGATCATTTCTTTGACCAAGTTCTGGACGTCTTATTCACATATTTATTGGTATAATCCCCAATGCACCTCGAGAAAGTTACTTTAAAACTTGGGATAGAATTTCCACAGTGTAAAAACCCTGAAGTAGGACAAGTCGCTCTTTATTTAATTTGTTTTATTTGATTTGAACTCAGCAAATGGTTACAGTGCATTTCAAATCAGACAAGGGAGGTTCAAAACTTCAAATTGATAGTCCAAGAGGGGATTACATAAAGTGTAAAAGTGTTGTATGACTTGTAGATTGTGCTTAGAGCTCTTCCTATTAAGAAGGTAGAGGGCAAAGACTCAAGAGGTATAAGATATATAGCTATCTTATTTCATCACTCTGCTGCCCATAGACAGCATGAAACTATGAAATAAATATGCACTATGCAGTACATACATGGGTCTACAAGGGCGCAAAATCGCAAATACATGTGTAGTACATATATGCAAAGTCATTACACTTTTCAACGCTAAAAAATAGCCTAACAAAGGTAATTGTATCAATTATTATAAAAAAACTTACTTGCTCAAAGCCTAAAACAAGATTTGCCCATTCTATGTCTCTAGTAATCAGCAAGTTGGATCTAGCAAGAAGACAAGCAACCATAGCCTGAAAGGATAACATGAGAAAATCATGTCATTCTCCAAAGAAATTCATGTAAAAATGTAGAATGCTTAAAATTATTTAGTCATTGCATTGATGTCATGATCTTAACATCAAAGATCCGATCATAGATGGAGCCTTGGAGTGCTGAAACATTTAACTCACATTATCATCACTAATTTTTTATATTCATTTCTAATGATTTGTAACTACCATTGTCAACATATTCCTTCCATGAGGTTCCTACTGTTAACAACAGCTTCAAATACTTTTATGCTTGAACAACGAGAATAATAAGTGATATCAATTATTTCTGTCACCCCAATAAGTAAGGATGCAGGCAAGAGGTGAAGTTTGAAAACATACAGGCAACAAAGTGATATTCATCCCTAAGAAGTCTAGGAATTGAGGATTATAGCTTAGAAGTGAATGTGCTGATGCATCAAAGATACATTGAAAATGTAGTCATGTACAAAAGAATTCCTGAGATAAATCAATAACGAATTGTAATGATCTGCAGTGTGCTGGAATTATAAAATTTGACCATTAGATGATAACTTTGGTCTTCTATTTATCTTTTCGAGTGGGGAGGTGAGAGAATCTTACCTCTTCAGGTGATGAAGGTTGCAGAAAGCCTGTCACAGTTTCACTAACAGGCGGTTGTCTGAGCTTGGGTTTCAGTTCATCAGAACCACCTGAGAAACTACAAGACCCAGAATCATCATGGCTCAGGGCACCACGAGTTTTTGTTCTATGTTTTATGCCAGCCTTCTGCATCTTTCTGTCTGCAACCCATAACTGTACAAAAAAATCTCTGCTCAAATCGGGATCATTACGTGCGCCCTGGCAAAATTGACGAGATACAATCTTTAGAGGATGCTGCACGCACTGGATATTTCTCGCAATGGAATCAGACAGCTTAACCGTTGATAGCATTTTTCTTCTTGAGTTCAATGATTTAAAAGAAAAAGCACTCTTGTGGTCCGTTTGAGAAGGCGATATTGACGATGCATATCCTCTATAGAGTTTCAAATCAAACAATGAACTCTCTTTAACAGCGAGAATCCCATTCAGATGGTTTTTGGTCATCAAACATTGTGATGACCTGTATTGTCTGACTAAACAATGCACATGCTTCCTCCAGTTCATTTGGAAAAAACTGGCAGATGACATATAAAAAGCCATAATCAATTGTAGTAGTACAGAGCAAAATTCACAACAAACTCAGAAGCTGAAATGTTCATAATAGACATTGAAGGTCATGTCACTAAACTCATACTCTACATCTGTACACCAAGATAGTGGCAGAAAATGATCATATTACCATGGATTTGAATTGAATACCACAAAATTACACCTGCAAATAAGCATATATGGTAGGAAATTCTTGGGGTAAACAATTGGTCAGCCTGTTACATAACCAGATGAAAACTAAAATGGGTAATGTGATTTTTTTAAAAACCACTTTAACCAATTAAAACTGATCGACATGATATGATAACCAACCGCAACTAATTATATATAATGACAATTGATCGCACCTCATTGCAAAGTTCCGATTTCAATTCTCAAGATTCCAAGAAAATTGCATGCAGCAAACTTACAACAATTTAGTAACATATTTGAATACTACTTAATCGAAACCAAACAAATTATACACAAATGCATTTTATATTTTTTTGGTGTGATCACTATAAAGAAATACCCCGGTTATCCAGCAAAACAGAATCCCAATAAACTAGTAGAACAAGCCCAAATAAAACCCCTCAATTCCATAGTCATTTGCACAAAACCTAGCAAAATTATGAACCCAAAACAAAACATCGGACGCAAATCCAGTCTAGAAAAAAAATAACAACTTAAAGTTATAGTAAAGTACGAATCAGGGAAAGACCTTAACATGAAACAAAAGAACTGAACAAATAAAACTGAAATCCGTGTATCTAAACAACACAAACTTATTTCAGAGTTGGATTTTTAAAAAAAGATTGAAACTTTTATGGACTCACATCCATCAACACATGTTCTTATTTGGCAACAGCTTCAAATGCTTCAACCATTCGAAAAGATGACAGTTTTTTTTTAGATTTAAAGTCTATTAATTAAAGAAAGTATTCATGACAATAAGGATGATTAAAAAAATAACAAGGCACAAGACTCACGATGTTGGGCCTTGGGCGATAGTAGCGGTGGCTAATGTAGTCGGCTTGTCAGGCAAAAAGAAATGAGATCATCTTACAGGTACTGAGTTCATCTTAGTAGATACGGAGATGCAGAAAATGGAGTAAAATTATGTCAATGTGTTGCTACTACTTCTATCCTTCCCATACTTGTGACTTTTTTTTTGTTACATTTCATTTTTCAATAATCACGGAATTTTTGTTTGTACATTTTATTAATTCTTTGGTAAAATAAAATATTATTGACATCTATTATTTCGAACAATATTTCATATAGTTTTTAAATGTATAAATTTTATTTTTTATTTCTATACCTATTTTTAAATAAAATAAATTGGAAAATTTTGATATTTCACCTCATTTTACAAAATGGGGTAAACATTTAGAGATGGAGGGAGTATAATTTAAATGAATAAATGTTAAAAATATTTCATATATCAAAAGTATATCCTAACATTAATCCAATTGTATTGAATTTGCATCATAATTAAATATACTTTTTCATAATTAATGGTCAAAGATATCACCATTTGACTAAAAAAATTGCTCAAGAAAGAGTTTATGAGACAGAAAGAGTATACGAAGTATTTTTTATTTTAGTTATACATTTGTTGAATACTCTATCCGCGCCAAAAAAAGAATATACAATTCACTATTTAGAAATAAAATATTACAATTAAAAAAATGAACATTTTGGAGTAACATAATATTCCGAGTAACATGGTACTCATTTTAGAAAAATGCTAAAAACCCCCACCCTTGCTACCACCCATGCCCCCTACATAAACATGTGGTAGGGAGGCAAGAAAATTAAAATTAGAGGGTGGATGGAGAATGAGTAAAGATAAATATGTGGTAGAGAAGTGGGTGGAGGCAAGTTTGGTAGCAAGGGTGGGGGGTGTGTAGCATGGTTCCTCATTTTATTGGCATGAATACTCATTTGCGAGTAAGAGTCCAAATTCATCATCGACATGGTACCAAAACTACGTCTCCCAATGTCACAATAAGCGAACTATCACCATAACTACAAGAATATGTCAAATTTGTGACATATATCTCCCACGGAGCCCTTTTGTTGCCAATCTGAAATGACTTTGTTGTAGAAATAGTATTATTGAAAACGTGGTACTTATCTGCGATGGAGGTTTTAAATTCATCATCGACGAAATTTTAAAATCCATCGTAGATATTAAACGCCTTATTCGCGCCTCATATAATTGACAGTGTTTTGGTTAACGTATCTGTGATAGTCTCCGTCACAAATTTTCTTCAACTTAACGGCCTTATATGATTCATCGTCTTCCCTCGTCGATCCACCACAAAAAACTAACCTCGTTAGCACGAACTGACAAACACCGCGTTCCACCACTCTCCCTCTTTGTTCTAGGGCTCATTGCCAGACTCCACCCTAGCACCAACCGCAAGAAGGGAGCCACCCTAGCCTCACTGCTGCCAACCCCCCGTGCCGCCTGAAGCATCGCTGCCCCCAACTACATGCACCGCCCCTTTATCATCGCGTCCTTCTTTCAATCTCAACCATTCCAGCTGTCGCAGCCTCGTCGCCTCCTCCCCACTGCCTTTGCCTAGCCCTCGTCGCCTCCTCCCCACTGCCTTTGCCTAGCCCTCGTCGCCCTTTTGCCGTCGTCACATTTCTTCAATGACCTGCCATTCATCCCAAAGATTGTTTTTCAATTTTATTCAGTTAAATTCTACTCTCTTTCGCCATAGATTTTCTCATTAACCGTTTTTATTTGTTCCTCATATATCTTCACATTAGTCATTTTAACATTTAAAATACCACAAATATCCCCAATCATTTTATTTATTACATCTCACCTACCTCATTTAATATACTTCACCCATTTTCATTAAAGATATTTTGGTAAACTTTTACTTTTTTTTCAACTTTTCTTAAAAATTACAAGACGTCAAAACGAGAACATCTTAGGGGGACGAATGGAGTACAAATTTAGTTTTAGTACGTATCCTTCTATTATAACATTTCAACAATCAACGGTAGCGACTTAGTTCACACAAATGATTGCATTGTCTATACGAACTAATTCAAACATGTTGTCATTTGTTATGTTAAACTTGAGATTATTGTATCATTGCTCATTAAAAAAATGGATAAGATCAAGAACGAGACTATTCAGAGAAGGGTGAGAGTAGTATCTCTACCGGATATGCTGCGAGAAGATTACTTGAGATGGTTTGGACATATAAGGAGAAGTGCAGAGGCTCTAGTGAGGAATGCGATAAACTTACAACAATGGGTGCAAGTAAGGGTAGATGTAGTAGACCTACGAACAATTAGAATGAGACAAGACTTAGGTCTTGACAATCTCACCAAAGATGTGATCTTAAGGATATGACTTTATAGAGAGTTAAGATTAAAATAATTAGATATCCTATAGACTTTAGTTTGTAGCTTGTGTTTATAAGCTTCTCGTATTTTTCGTGCTTAGGGTCTGGTTACTTATGCCGATATGTATATGTATTTATTGTGTTCGCGTTCTTACCATATTCGTGCTAAATTGTTACTTTACCTCTGCTCCTGTATTTGAGCCAGAGGTTTCATGAAAACTATTTATCTACTTGTAAGTAATGACGATGTATAAAATTGCGACACACATCTTTCCCATACCTTATTCTTGATAGACTTTGCTCAGTTTGTTGTGGTTGTACTAGTATTTTTTTCTCTTAAAAATAATTTTGTTAAAGAGTCTATGGAAACAAAAATACATACACAAAATAGACAAAGTAACCACAACTAGACAAAGACCCAAAGTGCACCTAAGTCCTACGGAGTAAATCCCTAACCAGGTTCCCCACCGCCATCACAATGGCCCTCGCCTTTACCGACCTGAACCCCTAAAACTTCAATTACTCGCCTCTCTTCTCTTCCTGACCGCCTATATACCCTCCGGATATAGCGAAGATAAGGACTATACAAGGACGAATTGCCCTCCCAGATTCAAGAAAGCGAGAGAGATGATGCGCAGTAGAGATCTGGAGACAGGGGGGACAGCAACGAAGGGCGGGAGCAATAGTCGCGCGTACCCACAATCAAGCTATGCCGTGGAACCGTACTATGCGGAAACCTCGGAGAAGCAGCGGACATCGTGGCTGGTGCCTTTGACTGTGGCCGTCAATGTTGTCGTGTTTGCAGTCATCATGTTCGTGAACAATTGCCCTCACAGTCATGAGAGGAGGAGGTTTGGGAGGAACGGGGAGTGCGTTGCGAGGTTTCTTGGGCGGTTCTCTTTTCAATCCCTCAGAGAAAATCCACTCTTTGGGCCTTCTTCTTCTACGTGAGTTTCTATTGTTTTGTTCTACTACCCTTTTTTCTAGCTTCTTGTTTTTTTATTTGAATACTCACTTCAAGATCCATTTATCTGGTTTTCATGTGTCAACTAATTTGACTGTTTAAATGTAAATTTATGCTTAGTTTTGGAATTTACATGTTCTAATGTCAAAGTTTTGCGAGGAAGATGGAAAATTGAATAACTAATTGAAAATTAATACTTAAAGAATTAGCTGTTTTGCTCGAGAGGTGGGCAGCTGATTTTGTTCTTGCTGATACTATTTATCCATTATCTTTGGTCTTTCAAGACAATTGCAATGGAGAAGCTCTTCGTTGCTAATTCTGTTATTGGGTTTGTTGCTATAATGCAGTGAATTATGTCTACACTAGAAGTCTAGAACACTAACTTGTCCCATAAGATTTTAGATTGCTCCCTTGGGATTTATGTCATACTGAGTAGAATATGCATAGCAAGCAAAGATCATATGGTCTTGTATCTATGTGTTTGCTTTCATGTGCTCCTAAAGCATCACCTAGGCAGACCAAGGGTATTTGCTAGCTTACTTCTAATTTGGGGCGGTACTTGTGCAGACTGGACAAAATGGGTGCACTA